ACTTTTCTTTGAAATCGCTTTATTAGTTCTCGTGCAATAAGCGTTTTTGTGAAGCTCTAAAAATTACAACTACAACATTTGAACATAGCCCCCATACCTTAAGGTAAGACGTATTCTACGTCAAAAACAAGTGATTCGCATTGTTCCATACAACATAAACATGCATCATTCCATTCAATGGTACACTGGTTTCTCTTGCAAACTTTATAAAAGAATATGTATATATTTGTGAAGTAGCTTTCCTGAATGGTTATTCAAAAGAATTCGTTGACTCCCTGTTAAAAAAGCACTCGAAAAAGTTCATCCAAAATCAAAATTCTACATTATTCCGAGCTAACAAAATACAGGACGAATTAAAACGATAAGTGTTCCGATATTTACCAGGTGTAATGAATGAATTCAATTATAGCCTTAAGAGGCATGATATCGCCCCAGTGTACTCAAACATTAAAAAAAAAATTAAAAATGTGCTCCAATCGACGAAAGACAAAATAGATTTTCTGAAGAAGTCTGGAATTTATTCCATTGAGTGTGGCGATTGTCACGGAAAGTACATCGGGCAAACAAAAAGGAGTATTGAAAAAAGAGCAAAAGAATACTTTCGTTGCATGAAACAGTTTAAAGGCTGGTTTTCACTATGTCAAATTCAGTGGCATTTGTCGTCAAATAAGTGAAAACACATCGTCAAATGGGATTAAAAATCGGTTTATCGATTGATTTCGACCATATAGGTCTTTAGTCGGGTACATGCGCTGCTAAATCGGCTGTCTGCCAGCGTTGGAGATAGAGTTCTGTCAAAATACGTCGGCAAATTTTGGTGTCAAAATATGACATAGTGAAAACCAGTCTTAACTTACGGAAATCAGCTGTACCTGAGCACGCAATTACAAGTGGACACTCAACTAACAAAGACACTTTCAAATTAAGCTTAGTGAAATGTGTTAACAAGCAATGGAAGCTAGATGCCAACGAAAGTTCTTTCATAAGCAAAGAAAGAGATGCATCGACTGTTGTCGAAGGGAACATACAATAAATAACCTTTGTTTTCATTAGTGTGATTTATCTCTCTCACCGAAGGGTCACTGCAAATTTTAAAATAGTTAAGGTCTGATTATGGCAACTTAACGTAACTTACGGCTCTCCCTTAACAATTCTGTTAATTGGCGTTGCTTTTAATTGAACTGCCGAAACTTAACGTAACTTAATGCCACGTCGAAATTTGTTTCATTTTGATTTTCTAAGTTCTGCGTTCCGTTAAGTTAAGTTAAGTTGCCATAATCAGGCTTTTAGTAGTGCCAGTGCTGAAGATGATCGCCGTGTGAGCGTTCGAAATGCGCATACAATTGCAAGTCTAAATATTTAAATTTGCCTTTTTCGTGTTGAAACAATAAGGTTTGTGCTAAACCATCAAGAAGTACTTCCAATTATTCGCCGTCTGGTTTCCTTCCGGGTACCTCTTATACAGGTTCGCCAGATCTATGTAGGCTCGCTTATTTCTGACGACACCACTAAAAGCCCCTAGAACGTTTGGAGGTTTAGGATGGTTACTAGAGTCTGAAGTTTTGGAAGCCAGCTCTTTGAGAGTTGGATGAGTTCAGGGCTTTTCGAGGCAGTCCTCTACTGATGCAGGTCACGACTTCCAGAGAGAATGTCTCTCGCCCTCTGTGTGAACTTGTTTTGCCCTAGCTGCGGAGCGGACTTTCTTTTTAATCCCTGGACGTGAGTGAAATTGGCTACCGGCTGACTTGGAGGTGGGCCTATGGTCGGCTGCGGTTTTGCCCGAGTACAGCTATCGGTACCACTACCATCCTCACTAGGAAACGCTTTACAGGGGTTTACTCGCCGTATGTTGACGTTTTACACGATAGATCTATCATCCTTATAGGCTCATCTAGCGGGTCGGATGCCAATTCCTTGCTGATATCATGGGGATTCTGCTGTGGATGCTGAGGATGACGGGCTTTTTTATGACTTTACGTATACCAATTTTAGTGTTGTGTCCATAGGCGGTGCAAGGATCTGGAGTTTTGTTTTGTTGACTCATACCGTATCTGGTCCTTTGATCGCCTATTTAGCCGAGATATTTCGGTGAACGAATGAAAATAGTTTGCGGAAAGTGTAATAGGCCGCCGCAGCATAGCTCCATACAGTAGTAAATCCATCGTAATGCTAGATGATGAAGGGTCTCTGGAAGGATACGTTAAAATGCAGTAGGATGCACCTTACTGCAAACTGTCGATCTAAAAATCTCGAAGTGGATAAAATATGGGCTTAAAAACGAGCAACGTCAAAGCCGAAGGGGCTCAATATAAAATCGTACCAATTCTAGAATTAATCAACGATATCTATCCACGGGGAAAAACTTTTTTTATATGAAATTATGAAATACATATTGCCTTTAACTCGAAAAAACTGGAAAGCTCTCAATTCAAAAACTTTCATAGAAGTTCTGACAGCTTAGTTAAAGTTTCGATACCTACGAGATTTACAAAGTCGTTTTTTTTATGGATAATGCCGATTTCGTTAATTTAATTAAATGCTAACACCGTTCTTTTTCTTATTTATTTTCAGAAAGTCTTACCATTCACAATACTTCCGGTTGGACATAAATATAAGTAAAATTTAATAATGCTCTGGATCGCAATACTTTACACAACACAAAATATCAAAAGTCTACCAAACAAAAAGCGCTTCACATACACATAATATTTAACAGAGTATAGCTTCCTTCCAAAGCGTTGGCTACAAAATAAGAATTTTTTGGCTAGAAATGCAACTACGTAACTGTTGAATCTGAATCTTCCTGCCAATTATAGAGATAAATAGCTATGCATGCTAATGTGACATCGGATCGAGGAGGTGCCAGCGGCTCATGGCGTTTACCACCTGACGAAACTCTACAGGTGGCGGGACCTAAAGAGAAGAACGACGATTTAGATTTGGAGGAGGGCCACAATTGGCGTAGCATAATATTCTCATTGCTAGTTATTAGTTTTGTAATAGCCGGTATTATAACCGCAATTTATCTATTAGGGTGAGTTAGCCTTCAAAAATTACACAAAAAAAATCATGATAAACTATATTTTTTATTTTATCAACCTTACAGTTATGTCGATGAATTGCTGTACTGGTCGGGCCGTCGCATGATACTCGACGAGTATTTGCAGGGTGATTTGACGCCTACGCGCTTGCAACCCGCTTGGGTTACCACACGCAAGTATGTCTTCCAGTCAGATGATGGCGGACTGGCCATATTGGATACGACCAGCAATTCGGTTAGCACGCTCGTTACGAATCATACGCTACGGCAGCTAAATGTGCGCGGTTATCAGTGCTCACACGATCTGCGATATGTACTATTTAGGCATAATGTTAAGAAGGTACGCTTTTGAGAAATTAGGAATAATTTAAAAAGCGCTTGAAAGTTAGAATCGGACATAGAATGTTGGTTCTCTAAAGACTCGACATAAGTTTTTGACAAGGAAAAAAGTTGACATTCATTTTTGGTCCCAAATAAAATTGAAATGCATAACAATTTTGGCATATTAAAGACTATACATATTTTTGGTAGTTTAAAAGCTCGACTTAAATCTTTGGTAATTTTAACCTGGAAATTGAAACTGGACATAAATTTTGGTCTTAAAAAAGTTGACATATTTTTTGGTAATTTAAAATCTGGCAACGAAAAAGGTTCCATACATTTTTGGTCTCATAAAAAAATGACATAAATTTAAAAACTGAACATTCATAGTTGTTTAGTAATTTAAAATGGACATACATTTTTTCAAATTTAAGTTGAAAAAAGTTTTGGTAACAAAAATGGGTATAAATTTTTGGCAATTAAAAATTGGATAAAACATTTTGGTTACTAAAAAACTGGGCATTAATTTTTTTTTGCTTAAAAGTTGGACATAACTTTATGGTGATTAAAACTGGTCTTACATTTTTGGAAATTGATCTGGACTTTCGTGACGAAAACTGGACATTAATTTTTTGCAACTTAAACACTGGATATTAAATTTCGGCTATTTAAAAAAGGGCAAATACTTTTTTTTTTGCTTAAAAGTTAGAAATACATTTTTGGAACATGCGTTTGCATAGTTTTGGGAACTCAAAAAGTAGACATAAACTTTCGGCAATATAAAAGCTGGTATACCCAGTTTTTTAATAACTAATAATTTATGTCCAGTTTTTAAATGAACAAAATTTTTATCCCAGTGTGAAAATTACTACAGACTTATGTCCAGCATTTAAATTTCCAAGTATTAATCTTGAGTTTTTAAATGATTAAAAGTGTATGTGCGGCTTTAAAATAGAACAATTATGCCCAATTTTGTAAATTGCCAAACATTTTTGTCCAGCTCTAAAATGGTCAAAAATATATATCCACTTTTCTTATTACCAAAAAATTATACCAGTGCCAGTTTTTAACCGGCCAAAAAATTATCGGCAGTTCAAACATGACGAAAACTTTATGTGTGTGTGACCTTAAATGAATGCCAAATTACCAAAAAATTACGTACTGTTTTAAATTACAAAAAATTTATTTCCAGCTTTTACTTTCAAGCGTTGATATAGTGTTTTGAAACTTATATCCTTTAGTGTATTAACATAATAATGTCCCTAAATTTGTGCTCATTTAGATTTTTCAAAAATCATTTACCGCATTTTATACAATCTACGACGTTGAAAACGATCACCATATGCCTGTGAAGCTAAAGGATTCGCCAAAGGTGCAGCGTACTCGTCTACAATATGCCGCTTGGTTGGGCAACACCACCTCCCTGGTCATCGTTGTCGACAACGATATCTATCTACGACAATCACCCACTGACGAGGAGGATATACGTATCACAAATACAGGATATCAAAATGTCATTTACAATGGCGTACCAGATTGGCTCTATCAGGGTGAGTAAAAGCATAGCCAAGAACAATCTGAATGCTAAATGTTTTTTTAATTTTTTTAGAGGAAATCTTTGAGCATCCAGAAGCGATATGGGCCTCAGAAGATGGTACACATTTCATATATGCCTCCTTCAATGACAGCAAAGTCAGTATGATGACATACCCCTGGCTTGCCTCGGGTGCAATAATTGCTGGTAGCGGCATGACATCGGAAAGCTCTTTTCCCGAAACGAAACATGTGCGCTATCCAACACCTGGCACCATGAATCCCGAAGTAACGCTTTGGTTAGTGGATGCTAGTAATTTTACAGATATACAGTATTATATGCTGAAGCCACCTCCTGCATTGGACGGACAGTGAGTATTGCTGTTTATGAAATGTGCGACGAATATAAGCTTTACACAAGTATTTCTTGATTATGTACCTTGCAGGGATTTTTATATAACATCTGCTGGCTGGATTTCGGAATTGAATCACCAAATCTCTGTTGTATATATGACTCGCTCGCAAAATTACAGCATAATCGCTACTTGTCTTGCCGATAGTAATTGGACATGTACTGAGGTATGAAAAAATATATAATAATTAAAAAGCTAGTACTTAGATCCTTTATACATACTCATACCATAGACCCGACATATGGAAGTTCTCTTTCAGGCCATCTTTATAATAGAAAAACTTTTGGAAAAAAGTACTTAACTGTATCATATGTATGTATGTAGTTTTTCTTCGACCCTTGTGAATTAAGTAGGACACCTTCAACCTGCCACAGGAAGGAAGAATTTAATTATCTGATGCCCTCAATAGGTTCATTGTATTTTAATTGCTTTGAGTTAATAATCAGCACTTGAGCACTTGTAATGGATCTGATTTGGCCACCGAATGGTATAGTTTGATCAGTAATGTCTAATGGTTTACGGTAGAAAAATTCTCCGAGCTTGAGATAAAAGTTGGTTAATATCTCTTCCTGAAAGCTTTTCGCGAGTGATAAAGAAGTGACACCGAAGGCGTTTGAATTCAAGGCTCAAAAAAGCTGGACACCTGAGTCGCAGTTGCCAGGATGACTCCAACAAAAATTCTTCATGCAATCCCTGTCTAATAGAATATCTCCTTCATTGTTTTACAAGTATAATCATGCACATTGAAATATCCGTCAAGTTCACAAGGCCACGCTTGCAAATACTATATCCCAGACTGACTTAGGGGCCAGACAGTGACTTGTAATTTAAAACATAGAAAATCTCTTTGTCTAACTCACACTCCCTTTAAAACGTGCGGATATCTGGATTTAAAACGATGAAACTCTATTTTTGACTACTGAAGAGTCGAGACTGAATTCCTGCTAATAGAAATGCCCACGGAAACAAAACCGTCTGGGTTCTATTAGTATTAATAAATTGAGAGGCTATGTCTGTACACTACTGACTAAAAGGTCATTAACAATTTCCAAGTATTCGCAATCACTCAGCAAGCGCTAAGCTGCCATGAGTCTGCCATAAGCTCAAGACCTGTTTACGGAACACCTGTTTCGAAAGACGTTAAATTGGTTCAATTGCCGAGATCAAAACTTTTCCCAAGGCGGTTCCAAGCCCGGTTGAGGAAAAATAGCTGTGATGTTCTCAAATGAAGGCTGCTGAAAGCATGCTGACGATTTGATGATGCTTGTATCTAAAAGAGCAGTATCACAAGTGTATTTCCTTTTTGCTCCACAGGTAGCTCTGTAGTTGTAGGCCTTCGACGTATTTCCATCCTTAAACCCCGGTATTCCCTTCGCCCAACATGTCAGAAAAGGATCTTGAATAAACGCTCATGACAAACCTGTTCGAAAGAAAAATATCCGCGCTTGCCGCGGCAGAAATTTGGAAGAGCCATTTTACTCAGACTTTAACGACCAGCAGTACAGAAAGCACAACTTTCACTCAAACGAAATTTGTGCACCTTAGAATCCTAGAATATGCGCGCTAATAAGGGATCGAAAAAGCTAGAAAAAGCGGGGTACAGCAAAGAGCAGGCTATAACCGCTAAAGCTGCTACAAGTGGCAGGCCCAGCCCTCAAAATGGAGCGCATGTAACAGTTGTTCACCAGTCGAAGCAACGCAGGAATAAAAAAACATCATCTGGACACCCAGGGTGGCACCATTACTTGTAAAAGCAGATGTGTTCCACTTCATGTTACCATCACGAAGGAAGCTTAGAGCTTTACAGCAAATGCAGAGAATACAAAGTTTATGCACTCTTTACTGCGAGTTTAATACACTAGAAGTAATAACTACGCGGGAGCTTTATTGATACCCATTTTGTTTAGGCGCGACTGCTAATACCGGGCGCCTAAATGCATGCTATGTAAATATACTTTTTTTTTATATCCGAGCGCACTTGTGCACAAGAGCAAAAATTGAGATATCTCAAGGTGGTAAACGAACTTTACCATTGGTCTTTAATGTTTATGAAAGTCCTGTCATTTTCAATCTTATTTACTTACTAAATATTATAGGACTAGCTAAAGCAGCAATATTTGCAGACTTAGATGTCGGAACACGCCTGCATTGTAATGTAGATAGCAATCCCAAATTTTTAGGGAAAATCCAAGTGTCTCACACACACAAGTGTCCACATTGCTACCTTGAAATTTTTTTGGACCCCAATGATAGTTCCTTGCCCTGACGGCTCTATTCAAAAGATATATATCCTTCATAGCAAAAGGATAACGAAAAAGACTAGCCTGTCTAAGGTCCCTTCCTCTCGCCAGTAATTACAGCGTTGTGAGTTTGGCCACGCTTCGATTATGAGTCTCAAAGAGGACTAACTGAGTCCACAAAACTGTTCCAGTCCCCTCAAGTACATTCTATGAGCTTTCCCCAGCCAATGCGTCGGCGAACTCTTTACGAGTTGGAAAGTGTAAAAGAACTCAATGTACGAGCCTAGACGTGATCGTCTTATTGGATATAGCCCTGATGGCCACCTAGCTGTCTGAAGAAATTGAATCTGGTGTCCATAGACACCCGCACTTTCTCTGCTCTTCATCTTTGAGCCGCCTTTGTACCAATGTACACATCTGCGATCCAATCCAGTTAACCATTTGAACAGTCCTGTAGGGCTGGAATTTTGACCTAGAAATTCCTTCCAAAGCAAGTTTCCTTTAACATAAAGTCGGAAAACTCGCCAAATTACAAGTCTCGGTATTTTCCCCAAAATATCTATGTGTTGTGTCTTCTTATGACGAGTACTGCCAAAAGTTAGCTTTGGCGAATTCCTTGAGGCTGCTACTTGGACAGAAATATGTTTTTTTGGCAAGGATTTTGGCCACCAAATTATGAAGGGATACGTTGCAATCCAACGGATTATAGTGCGGTACAGCCATTCATCTAGTTCGTAGTTGAAACCATCATTTCGACCAAAAAGACTTCGACAGACCGGATAGGCGCGGGCGCCTTTCTTTTGGCAAACCATGATGTCAAACTATCTCTCACACTTCATGCAATTTTCTTATATTTCTCCTTTCGTTCTCCTAACAGATTCACTCAGAACGGGCGCCAGAAGATGAATGGCTCGATATACTTCCACATCCTGTCTTCGCGCCCGACGGCAATAGCTTCCTAATACTGGCAAGCATACAAGAGTTCGGTAATGAACATTTTACGCACATCAAACACGTCACTATTACACAACAGCGCATAGCCGTCATATCACATGGGCGTTATGAGGTAGGAGTTTCATAAATTTTGAGTTTAACTATTGAGTAACTAATTTTTTTTTCTTTAATTTGTCAACAGGTGCTAAAAATCCTATGCTGGGATACAGTCAATCACTTAGTATACTATCTTGGTACCCAGGATAAAAAGCCCGGCCAAAGGCATTTGTATATGGTGAAAGATCCGGTCAATGATGAGAGCAGAAAGTAAGCTCTGCACAGATGCTTTTTATATAGCTTTTAACTTGTGCTTGAGCCAAGCCTCTATATGAATTTTTCCTTCTGTTTTTCTACCACAAGAACTGAACCACAGTGCATTACCTGCGATTTAGGCGAGGCGCTTTGGAGCAGTCGCTACTACTATGTGAATTGTTCCCATTTCGATGCCTTCATGACACCAGTGTCTTCCATAGCAACTCAATACGGTATTGAATTTTACATACTAGAATGCCAGGGGCCCGGCTTGCCAGTATCGGGCGTGCATATGCAGAAATCGCATAGTTTGGTGAAAATACTTTACGACACCCGTCCGTTCTTTACGGAGCGCCTACAAAAGTTGGCGCTACCCACACAACGTTCTTTCGAGATACCATTACCACATGGGAGTCGGGCACAAGTGCAATTACTTCTACCGCCTAGTTGGCGTGAAGAACTTAGGGATGCCGCCTTTCCGGTCGTGGTCGAAGTGTAAGCAAAATTCGTCAAGTTTTTTTTTCAAAGTTCTAAGTTCCACTTGAAAGAGAAAACACTTTCTATTTCCACAGCAATGGGCGGCCAGGTTCAGAGTCTGTTTCTGAAAAATTTCGAATAGACTGGGGCACTTATATGTCATCACGTAACGATGTCATTTATATACGCTTAGATGTTCGTGGCGCGAAAGGCCAAAGTAAAAAGCAACTGTATCGACATTTGGGCGGCGTCGAAGTGCAGGATCAGATTTCTGTTTTAAGGTTTGCAAAAATATAAGATTGAAAGGATGCTTGTATTTATTTTAATATGTATACTATTTCTATTTTTCGTTGCAGATATCTCTTGGATACAATTAGTTTTTTAGATGAGACACGTGTCGGTATCTGGGGTTGGGGCTATGGGGGTTACGTGACATCTATGGTGCTTGGTACACAACAGGATGTGTACAAATGTGGCATAGCCATATCGCCAATAGCAGATTGGCTTTACTACAGTAAGTGTTGATACATATTGTGAAAATATTTTTCTTTATAAAAATATTTATTGTCAAGAGTTTTTTTAGTTTCATACTAAAAACAAGTAAGAGAGTCTAAGTTCGGGCGGAGCCGAACATTAAATACCCGGCGCAAGTTTAAATATATGTTTTCCACCTTTCCGAAAACTACCGCTACATGGTAAGCCGGTGGGTGGTTTAATTTTCAACGTTTTGCTTTTATGTGGCAAGCACAATAACCATACTGAGTTTGGTATAAATTGGTAGAAAAACTTATCATAAACGTATTTCTCGGTAAAGAATTGTTGCATGCATCAATTTTGAATAAATTATCTTTAGTATTTACTGATTTATCGATGATTTCGTATTTTTCTAAAGTACCGTTTTATGGGATGTGGGCGTGGTTATTTTCCGATTTTAAAAATTTTCAGCCATATGGTATGTTGTACCAAGGCTGATAACTGTACCAAGTTTGAGAGAAATTGGTGGAGCCAAGATACCAAGATATACACATGTTACCATAAGTGGGCGCGGCTACGCCCATTTTCAAAAAATTTATAATATTATTATTTTTTGTCTAAAAAGCATTGTAAATATCAATTTTGAGTGAGTAATCTTCAGTAGTTACTAAAATATCGCAGTTTTCGTATTTCTGAAAACTACCGTTATATGGGAGGTAGGCGTGGTTATTTTCCGATTTAGCCCATTTTCAATACTGTCCGTCCTACGTCAATACTGGTACTCGTACCAAGTCTCGTTAACATATCTCAATTTTTACTCGAGTTATCGTGTGCACAGACGGACGGACAGACAGTCACCGCTTAATCGATTTCTCTTTTCATTCTGATCATTTATGTATACATTTGTCTATATCTATCTCGATTCGTTTTGCCTGTTACAAACAACCGTTATGTGAACAAAGTTATAATACCCTTGTGCACAAGTGCGCTCGGGTATAAAAATATGAGTCGATTCTCAATCGATTATCGTTTTACGAGCAATAACTAATAAATAGTTTGAATTGGCATAGTTTTCTTATTGTAGTGGTTTTCTAAGTACTTTTGGAATTTCGTAGTAAATTGCTTGGAAGAGTGAGAGTTTTTTCATCACCATCCGAGCACAATTTTCGTAGTGCCCTAACGTGTTTGATTAGAGCTGATATGATGTACACTGACCTATGTCTGGCCAAGGCCGTTCAATCACAAATAATGTGTTCTGAAGTTTCATCGCCTTCAAGGCAGAGTCGGCATTCTAACTCTGTGGCAAGACCATTTTGGTGCATATGTATGGAGAGTTATCTGATATCTGCTCTATTTAAGAGGCTAATATCCTGTCTCAAAAGGATAATCGAAAAACCTGGACTGCTCGCATCGCTTCCTAGTACTTATTGCATTCTGAGCTGACTCATTCAGTAATTATAATTCTCGAAGAAGAGAGATTGGCACAGCCAAATGATTTCGGTACCACAAAGACAGTTGAGGATCCGTCTCGTGCCAAGTTATCGGCAGCCTCATTACCTTCGACAACGACTAAAGTTAGTCGATAGTATTACCAGTTAAAGATGAACTTCGGTTTTTGTAGCCCTACAACCGTTTTTTGGCTCGGGCCGGAAGCAAAAAATTTCGGCAACTGCCCTTCATTGCAAAACTATTCATCTACTTGCCTTAGACAGTAAATTATCCACAAGAATTCCAGACCAATATAGCGTTGCCCAGGCAGAATTAACCGCAATTAAAGAAACCGTCCTGTGGTTCATAGCTTAAGATCTTTCAGGGCGGCCTATCAAAATCTATTTTGACAGCCAGGCACTATCATGCCTTTAAAATCAAACGGAACATCGTAAAATGTAGCCATTGAGTGCAGAATTGGCATCACAGAACACAGGGACGTACTTGACAACTGCAAGCCGACGAGCTAACAAGGAAAAGGGCAGTTATATCCGCTCGTTATACACATACCTGCACTATAAACATTTATATTCTATATGGGGCACTGATATGTTGGCTGAGAGTGGCAATAGCTGAAGGAGATCTTTCTCTGCCTACTCCTGGGGAAAAGAAGCACGCCAGATGGATTTTTGTTATCAACCTGCCACTGGCAAGATCGACGCGGATCCTCAACGGTGGAGCCAAATTTCCACGGAAGGATTCGTGGCGCCATCCCTAACCGGACACAGTAGCAATCTGATGAAACTGTAATCTTTTCCGAGAGGGAACGTATTCTGCTATTGTTTCCTCTCGACCTACGGGGTTTTAGGCAAAACTCTACGCTATATCTGTAGCTCCTGCAAGGGTGCTCAGCTGCAAATGCGAAGACAAAGACTAGAACAAAAACGAAAACTAAGACAAAAACGAAGACAGAAACGAATACGAAGAAGAACAAGAATACGAAGATCAAGCTGAAGACAAAGACGAATATGAAAACGATTACGAACACCTTTACGGAGAAGAACACGAATACGATCCTTTTATTTTTTAATTGTGAGGGTCCTCTCCCTTCCCAATTTAATTATGTTCCCACTGCATTTAGCTTTTAAATTTTACCATATATTCGATTTCTCCACAGATTCTGCTTTCACAGAACGCATATTAGGCTTGCCGGCGGAAAATTACAAAGGCTACGTCGAAGCCGATGCAACGCAGCGAGCGCGACTCATCAAATCACATTCATTCTTCCTAATACACGGCTTAGCCGACTCAACGGCACCCTATATACATGGCATACAGTTGGCCAAATCGTTAACAGATGCCAACATATTGTACAGATATCAAGTGAGTAAAGCTTAAGAGGAATCTAATGCACTGATTACATATTGATCAAAATTAACATCATTACCTTTCGTGTTTTTACACTTGCCACCCAAAGACGTACGCGGACGAGGGCCACGATCTAAATGGGGTGCTCGAACATGTTTATCTTTCGATGGAACATTACTTTGCTGACTGTCTAAGTCTCGATCCGGATGATACGAAGCCCGATCTGGATCAGAAAATAGTGCCAGCTGAGTAAAGATAGGGAGAAGAGAGAATAAATATAAAGAGAGCAAAGGATTTAAAATAAAACAAAACAAAAGTGACATAGCAGTTAAGCGCGATATAGTGATTAAAAAAATAATTAGTATTAGAATTAAAACAAAACAAAACAAAAACAAAAATTATTATTACTAAGCACAAGTGCATTAAGAAAGAGATCAAAATGAATAAAAGGACTAGAATAGCAAAGAGCAGCGAAAAAACGCAGAAGACATCAAACATACAAACATACATAAACGAAAAAGCAGTTCTATTACTAAATTGTACATTATTACAAATTCAAAAAAAAAGAAAAGAAAATACATAAGAGCAGAGAATAAATAACCAAAATACATAAATCGTGCGATTCTTGCGGCATTTATCTTCCAACCAATTGCACTTGTAACGAAACAGAAATGATAGTCGAATGTATGTACATAAATATTTATAAATAAGTGAATTGTTAATTTTTAAAAATTTCTTTGCTTGACTAGTGAGTAATTAGTGTACTTAAGTTAGTTAGCTAAACATAATTGAATAAAAAAATATATAGATACATACATATTTATAAGAACAATTCATATACATACAATAGTAATGTGTCCTTCTTTATGGACATGCGTATATACAGTGACGCGCAAAAGTTTTCGGCCCTACATCATATTGAGTATGAATGTACATACATAAATTTTTTATCGAAAAAAGGTTGAAATGTTATTAAAACGAGTGATATTTTAAAAATATTTTTTTATAAATTTTCTTTTTGCTTAAAAGTTTTGTAAATTTAATAATTTTGCTCAAAAATGTAAATGGTATTTTTAGAGGAAAAAATAGTTTTTTGAAATTTTTTTGTCAAAAATGTATTATTTTTAATTTGAGTTAATCCGTTCTATTTAGTCATTAATTCCTTATAGCCAGTGAAATTAAAATTGAGGTGTGTTCTTGTTCAGGGACCGTTACGATAAGTATTATTTTTTAGTTATTTTTGAAGTTTTATAGCCCGACTCTATCGGTGACAAAATTTTTTTTACTGATAAATTTAAACTTTTTCATATATTTTTCCGTGTAAAAGACTGACAAGAATTTGTCACTGATACGGAATAGAGCCATAAGTTTTAGCTTAGAAATATTTCCTTTAGAATTTTCGTTTTGCTAAAATTTTTTCAATTTAAAATATTTTGGTTAGAAACAATTTTGTTTCGATTTTCCTTTTTTTTAATTTTATTTACTTTATGTTTTTGTTTTAAAAAAGTAAATAATTTTTAGTCTTGTGCTTAGAGAATATTTACTTATTTATTTACTACAGCTTCTTAAATAAGAATCGAAATTTGTAATGCGGGGATCGTAAGTTAGATTAAGAAAAGAAATATGTTTAGTAATCTTTTTGAGCATTTTTGTTGTATTTGGAGTTCTTTTACTTAGAAACAATTTTTAAAGATTTTCTTTTGGCCTACATTTAAAATTTTTGCTCAAAAAATAAATTTTTTTTTAAGTTTTATTTTTTGCTTAAAAAAGTGTTTAAAGATTTTTTTGCAAAAACCAAGCTTTTAAAGATTTTAATTCTATTTTTCGCTTAGAACGAAATTGTTTTTTGATACTTTTTTATAAAAAAAGTTCTTTGAATGTATTTTTTGCATAAATGAGTTTTATTTTTGTGCTTGAAAATATTTATTATAGCTACTTAAATTAGAATTCAAGTTGTATTTAAAGAGTAATTTTTAGGTTTTGCTTGAGCATTGTTTTCTAGGTATTTTTAGAGTTTTAGTTTTAGCTTAGAAAATTTTTTTTTCCAGAATACTCTTTTTGCTTCAATGTTTTTTTTTTTTAATTTTAAATTTTTGGAAAAAAGTAAAACGAGTTTTTTGAGTTTTATTCTTTGCTAAGGAAAAATAGTTTATTTTGAGATTTTTTTGTAACAAAAATCATTTACTTGGGTTTTGTTTTGTGCTTGAAAATATTTAGTTTTAAATTTTAATTTGTGTTTATAAAGTCAATGAGTTTAAAATTTTTGCTAAAAACTTTACTTTTTACAAGTTTTTTATGATGTTTTCGTAAATGTGTGCTTTTATTTTCGTCGGCCCCTGTGGTGTAGTGGTAAGGTCGGCCGCTGTGGTGTAGTGGTAAGCAGTGCGCGTTTTCACTCATCAGCACCTGGGTTCAAACCCTGGTCAAAGCAACATCGCAAAAAATATAGAAAAAGGTTTTTTTCTTAACAGCGGTCGTCCCTCGGCAGGCAATGGCAAACCTCCGAGTGTATTTCTGCCATGAAAAACGGCTTCTCATAAAAATACAATCGCCGTTCGGAGTCGGCGTAAAACTGTAGGTCCCTCCGCTTTGTGTGACAACATCAAGGCGCACACCACAATTCGGAGGAGAAGCTCGGCCAAACACTAACATATGTGTAAGCGCCAATCTATTATTATTATTATTATGCTTTTATTTTATTTTTTAGTTAGAATAAAATTGTGAAACTTATTTTGTTAAAAATTATAAACTTCAATATTTTGTTTAAAAAAATTAATGGACTCTATTTTCATGTTTAGAAAATACTTATTTAGTTATTAGAGATACCTAAATTAGAATTGAAGTTTGTAATTTAGGGTTTCAATATTTGTTTATTTAAAAAAATTATTTCTAGAAACTTTTTTAAAGCATTGCCTTCTATAATTCTATGGTTTTGCTCAAAAAACTAAATTTTTTTAAACAGTTCTTTGTAACTTCTTTGTTAAAAAATTATAATTTTTTTCTTAAAAAAGTATACGAGTTTTGTTTTCACACACAGAAAATTGTTAGGCTGTGTTGCGCTGACTGTTCTCACATTGGCCAAGAAAGTTGGATAGTGAAAGAAAAGCATGCACTGTACTGACCATAACACCTCATTTTGCTTTTCAACATCCAGAAAGTTAAGAAGAGATTTTAGCAGTAGGAAGGTGTATCGCCTTCTTCAAGCGGTCACATACGCAAAGATCATTAGCGGTGGTGTCTACTTAGCACAGCCACAAAAGCTACACAGATCATCTGATCAGATCCCTATGCATATGAGCAAATTCACGAATTGTCTCATTTTTCCGCTAAAATGTGTTTTGGTCGAAAATGGTGGCACACTTATCTTTTGCGTTTAACTTAAAAACCATATAATTTAAAAATTATTAAATATTGGCGTGGAAGATTTTTGCACAGTATATTATTTTCTTCATGTATAGTATATAACAATTTTAAAATGAATTTCAAATTTGCCAATAAAAATTTCAAAACGGGAAATCTAGTACCGCAAATTATAGTAATCTTTTAGTCAATGTAATTTTTTTCATTTGGTGACACATAAGTTTTATTATTACACTAGATTTGTTCGTTTTGGCAAGAAGGACATTTTCACAGTTTATTTTTAACATTTTACAGATATTCTGCATGCTGCCATTTTTTTTTTTTAATTTGGTGGCACACTCTTGAGACTTCACAGATATTTTGTATTTGATGCCATTGCCTCTAATACGAACATTTTCTTTGAAATTTTCCCCAAGTTATTAAAAAACAATTATGACTTTTTCGAGTGACAAGGATAAAATGAGTGATTTCGGTACTTTTTCGCCTAAATAAACGTTTAAGGCTAAAACTGTTCAAACACTTGATTGTACTTTTTTCTGGAAGTCCATTGATTTAAATAAATGCAAGAACAATGTTTTAGCGTTTTTTTTTCTAGCGAGAGAAGGAAGTGACACTAAAAACGTACTCGTGCGATTTGATCATATGTCCTCTTAGAGTATTCCCGTAATAATCCTCAAAATTTCTGGTGTCTCTTCAGGTTATAACCCAAATTAATGTTTTGGCTTGGCGATGCTCTGTTGTGGTCTGCCAGTGTTCTTCTCTCATTTTTATTGTTCTTTTCCTGAGCTCTTCCCTGGCCGTATGTGGATTTGTCGTATGAAAAGGATCAGACCCCGCAGCAGTTAAGGCTGCTTCGTTCGTAGCTAAGCCGCCCACTACCACATTTTCCTCCATTCTCTTGTGACCTGGTACCCAGGCAGCTGAATGTTATTGTATTCAGCAAGTGAGTTGAAGTTCTCAGTGCACTTAAGGACTATAGATGATTTAATTTAAAAGGCCTGACTATCGCTAAGGATTGGGCACGATCCCAGATCCTACAGAATGGGAGTGCGCACTTCGATCCATTACACCATAGCGGCCGCCAAAGACAAGATGAAGACAAAGGTGAGACTAAGTATGAACTTAAAGATAAAGATAAGGATGAAGGATAAGGACAAGGATAAAGACAAAGACAAAGGTTAGGGATAAGGAGAAAGATAAAGGCAAAGGTAAAGACAAAACACTAACACAAAGCCAAAGGCTCAAGTCAATATTAATATTAACAAATTTCCGCATAAATACAAATTAGTCACAAATGTGTACTTTCTCCAGCGTTTCTGTTTTTCTTTTAAAAATTTTGATACATAAATACTAGTATGCTGTGATGCCGAATACTTTTGACAACAACTGTATGTATGTAAGCATGATTTCACACTTACATATTATGTGTAAATAGTTATGATATATGCAATTACATATATGTAGCTATGAGAAGTGTGCACACAAGTTTTCATGAAGCAACGTATATATAATCTTTACGAACCACAATATTACAGAAATCGAATAAAATCAGGGATGAAATATTCAAAGTTATCTATTGTTTTTCATACGAGTATTGTTTGTGGTATGAAAAAGGGTTGTTTTTACTCTATTTAGTTTTCTTATTTTTATTTAATAACAACCAGGGACGGAAAATACTCACTATTTTTAAATTCTAACCAATAAAATCAACAAGTTGTAATCGTATTTGTGTTCTACGACCTACTGTAATTTACAATGATTTTTTTTGTTTCGAGTTCAACAAATAAAAATTAAAAATGATTATTAATATTTGAGTTTTAGTTTTTCACTCAAAGGTAATTATTATTACTTGATTTTTAGTTTTTCGATCAATAATAATGATTATTTTATGATTTTTATTTTTTCGCTCAACGATAATAATTATTTCTGAGTTTTATTTTTTCACTCAAGAATAGTGATCATTAAAAAAACTCAAAAGCCACACCAGCGTGAGTTCTCTGGTATCCTTTCAGATGTAGTAACACCCTAATAAAAGGAATAAGTCCCAAAATTTCCAGGTCAAAATTTCAGTAAGATGCGTCTGT